GTATATATATGGTTGGGCAATTTGTAAAAGCCAAGTTATTGGATCTCTATTGGAGTTAATCCAGATGTTAATTATTCTTTGAATTGGAATAGTATATTGCTACTAAAGAGAGGATCGGAGATACAATGGGTAATTAATAGCTAATGCATCCGTCTTATTAATTTAAGGGAAAATAGTTTAATTTCTCTTAAATAAAATTTTGAATTCGACTTTTATAAATAAAAAAATAGACGCCGAAAAAGTTTTTTTCTTATAAGATCTAATATGAGTTAATTCTAAATTAATTAAAATTCAAAATGATTTTTGAATTTTGGAGAGTTAATTACATTAATTAGTAAAAAATATACATGTCTTACTAATTGGTAAAAAAAAAAAATGCTAGGCAATAGTTAAAAAAAAAAAAGGAAAAAAAAAGGGTGATGTTTGTAAAATTTTGAAGGATAAGCAACCTGGCTGAACTGATGGGAAGGTTCTTTTTTCTTTTAGTGCGATGAACTAAATCTAGGTCTTATTTGTTTAGGTCAATATGTTTGAGATTTTTGGATTTAAGTCCAGGACTGTAAGTCCAAATTGCTTTGGGCTTCAACAGATTTGGATTGAAAGAAAGAATAATTATTTTAAAAAATTGGACCTATCACAATTGGATTTTTTTAAAAATTTTAGTGGTGTTAATTTTTCAATTGCAGATAATGATAAATATTAAAATGGGAAGATTTTTGGGGCTCGCCATAAAGCATTCATATTGGGCCAGCTTCTATCTTTCAAGTGGGCCACCTTACCCAAAATTATTTAAAAGGTTTTATAACTATTTTAAATTATATGTATGGTCCAACTGTTGATTGTTAAAATTAATAGTTAATAATTAATAATAATTTAAAATCATTTTTTATTTAAAAAAAACCAGTCTATAACATCTTAACTAGTTATTAAAAAAAATTATAAATTATAAATTTAATCAAACCAAATATACCCTCAGTTTTTCTTATGAGAAGGAAAGCAAACTACTATTTCTTTGGAGTAGAAAATGCTAATTGATGACATGCATTTGAATATACCCCAAAAAAATTATATTTGTGAATAAGTTGTTTATATATATATAGGACAATGACACATATACCCCGTAAAGTGACGGTCTCCATTACTTGATTCATATCTCCATTACTTGATCCATTACACACTTACAGTTCACCAAAAACAAGCTACTGTTTTAGGTACAAAATCAGAACCCATAAAACTCCAAACGAAAACTTAATTGTTAAGAATATAGATCAATGTCTCTTAAACATTTAGACAAAATGTCAGCTCAATCCAACGATGAATTTTTTGCTGATTGAATAAAGTAGCAAAACTATGTATAGTACCAAAACTGCAGAAAAATAAATAACTAAAAACGAGCTACTGTTCTAAGCATAAAATCAGAACCTACAAAACTCCAAACAAAAAACTAACCGTTCAAAATGTAAGTCAATGTCTCTTGAACACCTAGACAAAATTTCAACTCAATTCAACAGTGAACTTTGGCAGATCAAACAAAATGGTAAAGTTGCACAGAGTACCAAACTGTAGAAATTTCCTCTATTTTCTTTTCCCTTTTCTGTTGATTGGCTCCACTCACATGCACTCCACTTTTTGTATATCATCCCAAAAACAGACTTGTTTTATATGTTTAATGGGCTACAAAATCATGAGCTAAAATGAGGATGATTTTTGTGAGAAAATGAACTCTTCCTCAAGATACTATAGACTCAAAATTCTAATTTGGTGCTTGAATATATTGTTTGGCTAGAATAGCAAGAGGGAGAAAGGAGAGGAGAGAGAAAGAAATGGTTGGGTGCATTTAGGGAGTTACGTGAGAAGTCTATAACGGATTAAATAACGAAAATCATCAATATGCAACAAAGTGTGTATTTTTACAAGGTATGTGATCAAGTAATGGAGACCGTCAATATATAATAAAATGTGTAATTTTACAAGTATATGTATCATTATCCATACATATAACATGAGAACTTTGGGAAAAAGGGCTATTTTTCAAGGACCAGTAAGAGGTTGAATTTTCAACTCATAGCCGCTTAAGCTCTTAGGTATTGTTTTGGCGCCCCCTACCCACTAAAATTTTTTTAATTACACAATAGTAAACATCTCTCTCGTGCAAATTAAATTGTTTATAATATTGGCCTGATATGCATATTTGGTGGGAAATTTATTTAAAAAAGAGTAGTTCTTCCAAACAGAGCCATAGGAAGAGAGTGAAGTTATGCCCTACAATATTATATTAGGCCACACAATTTAACTATTAATATTGGCTCTCTTTTTAAAACAATTTTCTAAAAAAAGGTATGCTTGTAATCTCATTTTAATTTAGTAATTAATAAATATTAACTGCTTCATAGCACAAGCTATTTTTAATAATTAAATTAAACAAAATTAATACTTTTACATATAAAATTAACATATTTTTATGACCCTAATTTATAATAGTGGGCCATAACCACAGCCCTATGATAACCATAAGGGCCTACTTGTTTACCTCTTACCGGAAGGCATTTTTGGAGATGCCATACACAACAATAACTTGGCTCTGATTTAGGAAAATAATTAAAATTTTTAAATAATTTAATGATAATTTTTTTAATAAAAAAAAAAAAATTTGAATTTGAAGCAACTAAAAAAGAAAAAAAAAAGGAGAAAAGAACAAAAAAAAATAACTTTTATTGGGCAAATAATCCTAATGGGGAAACAAAAAAAAAAGATTTTTAGACATAAAAATCAACAATAGAATATAATTGATTATATTCTTTTGTGATTGATTATAATACTTTAATAGTAAAATAATAAACTAAATAAAAAAGATTACACACCACAAAATAAAACTTTTTGAAGTTTTTGAATTTGAAAAATTTTTTTCTTCATGCATTATATTTGTTTATAACTTATTACTTTTCAAAATATTAATTTTTTATATAATCAACAGTATTTTACCTTAATTTTTGAGCCAGAAAAATTTCATTTCTTGGTTCAAGCGAATTAGAAAAAAATGATGACTTCCCCGAAGATACGTTTTAGGTAGGAAGCAACCAAAAAGCTACTAAAAGGAAGTAAAATGAACCCAGGGACTATTTGGGTTAAATAAGATAATTTTGAGTCCTCATTAACAAATTGTTAAAAAAAAAATCCTCATTAACAAATAAACAACATCTTAAAATCCTAAATATCAACTTATCTCCACTCGAGGGTTTTGACAGATACACTCAATAGTCAATACTTACGAGTCTCAAACAGGGCTTCCTCTTCCTCTTCTTCCTCTGTTCTTTTTTTTTTTTTTTTTGGTCTTTTTTGCAGAAACCAACAATACCACAGATGGGAAGCACCGCCGTCGAGAAGACTGCGGAGGAGCTCCAACGGGAGATCGATGAGCTCTATCGCCAACAACGCGAGGTATTCCCCTTCGCTCTTTGTGCGTTTAAGGTTTTACATACACAATATGGTCATAAATCATGATGAGCTGTTTCTTTCAATACAGATTACAGAGAGGCTGAGGGATCCTCGGGGTCTCCGAAGAGGAGGATTGTCAGGCGCCGGACCTCGGAACTTTGCTGCTAATGGTGCTCGTCGGGGCTTTGTTCGCCCGGTAGGTTTCTGTCTGTTACGGAGAGTTGGAGTTAGTCTATTGCAGTACATTTTTTCTTAATTTCTAGATAATTAGATGGTGTTTCCGACTTTCCACTAGTTGCAGGCGGATGGGACTGAAGACCAGCCTCCAGCTAAGAAGCGACTGTTGTCTGCTGTTGTCAAGGTAATACCATTGTGTATTACTGAGGAATTAGAGTACATTATATGGAAAATGAACTATGTATTGACGTTTGTGCCATGAGTTGCTCATGCCCTTTGATATTGTCACTTATTGAGCCGGATAAGTAACCATTATGCTATGCTTTAACTAGGTTTTTAATCTTTTCACTGTTTTACAATGGTTTCAAAAGTTTTAGTTTTGTTTTCTTGAAGGTGGAGGAAGGAGAGATTGCTGAGGATGCTATTGTTGGGAAGGATGTGAAGCCGAACGATACAGCCATGGAAAGATCTATTGTGGAAAATGTGAGTGATAGAAAGCCACAAAGTGGTTGGACTAGGAGGGATGTCAATGAAAGAGCAGAAAGAAAGGTACAGCATTAAGCTCTTTAAATTGAGCATGTTTTATTTTTTTAATCAATGGAAATATTTCATAATGCTGTCTCCTGTTTCCAGGATAATCTACCTCCAATAACAGAGCATGTTCCAAGGGTTTTACCAAAGAATGAGGATCCAAGCTTGGTTAATAGAAACAAAAGAATGCTGGGACAACTTTTGGGGACTTTGGAGGTATGTTATTAATAGCGTCTTTCTTCTCAGGAGTAACATCGATTGACTATAGGATGGTTTTACATTTATCGACAGCATTCCCTTTATATCATGCACCCTTCCTTATCATTAGTTTTCTGTTTCCTTATTTTCTGTGAGACGTGTCTAGAAATTCAGAAAAGAAGATATGCAACTTTCAGGAACAGAGGCGTTTATGCGGAGGTCAAATTCTCTGCAAAGGGTAAGCATCCAGTCTCATTTTTTTATTGCTACTGCCATTTGTATTTTAAGCAATCCTTTTTGCACTTAGTAGGGAATTTATAACAGAGAGCAATTATATAATGCAATTCCTAACTCAAGGGCTTGTGAAGTACATAGTGGGAATATGAGATTCTCTTTTCTAATTTTTGTTGGTGGTGCATTTATCTTGATTGTTTTAGTTTTAGCTCATGGAGCAGAGAATGATTGCCAGATGTAATTCTTTTTGAGTGCTGAATACTTTTTTGTTGATAATGGATATTTGGATTTTGGATCTATTATTAGGCTGAGCAAAGAGCACGTGAAGAAAGTGAAAAGCTGAGGGAACAAGAGCGTGAACAAATTGCTGAAAAGCGGAGGAGAGATCTGGTTTGTTATTTGATTGTAGATCTTTCATTTGGATAGTTTGAAACTTGGATATGCATTGTTTATGAGTAAGCAAATACTCTTTGCTTGTTCTCTTTTGCTTTAGACTCTCAGAGCACGTGTGGCTGCCAAGGCAGAAGAAAAGAAGTTGGATTTGCTGTTTCTTCAGTGGAGCGAGCATCATGGAAAACTTAGCAATTTTATAAGGTGTCAAACAATCATCATTCTCAGATTCTCTGGGTTTTAATTTCTTTTGAACATCAAATATTTTTTTGAATACTATCTTTTTTGGTAGTTAGTTACCAGCATTAACAACTTTTTCCATTCAAATCTGCTGCAGGTTATTTTTAACTTTGGTCCAAAAGTGTCCATATTCACAATTTTATTGAGACAAAGATAAGTTTCTATTCATGTGCAAGGATAGCGTTGAAGCAACTGAAGAAATAAATGTTTCCTTAGGTAGAATTGCAAAGTTTTATATCATTTTAATTTCTGCTCCTTTTGAATGCTTTTGGGATGTTCTTTTCAGGACTAAAACAGAGCCTCCTATATATTACTTGCCAAAGAAACCATTGGATGAAGATGAAACTTTACGCGAGCAGCGCAAAGAACAGGTTTCTTCCTGCCTTTTTTTTTCATTTTGAGCACCTATATAGAAAGTGTCTGTTTTTATATAGTAAAAAAACTCACCAATGGCCAAAAAAAAAAAAAAAAAATTCATTTGACTATTTTCTTATGCTTAGAAGTCTTCGAAAAGGTGGCATGTTGTTCTTTGGCCCTTCAATTTCAGTTCTCTCCAGTCTCCACTCTATTATTGTTGAGCTCTTAGTCTAAAGGAGTGGCTGGGATCTATGTTGGGTCGTATTAGGATAAAATGCTCACTTTTTCGGAATGAGCCTCTGCAAATTCAAGTTTGTATAACCCTACTAGGACAATGGGCTGTTGCATACTTATATTATCATCTAAGCTTCTAGAAATTTTTATAACCATCTCATGGACATCTTATTTTCCCCTTATTTTACGTCAATCTTAGAGGACATCAAGTTGTAAGAGAAAAGCAGCTGGGTTATATATTTAAAGTTTGCCTCCCAGCACTTCATCTCAATTTGAGTATGTACAAGTTTGTGAAGTAGAGAAGTGGATGGCTGTAGAATAGAAAATGGTCATATGTTTTAGAAAGAATGGGAATAGGAATCAGATTGTCCAACATAGGATTTTATTTGTAAAGTATGTTTTAAGTCGAGTTTCTATTTGTCCACCAACAACCATTCTATGCTGACATATTTGTTTGGCAGGCATTTTTGGAATGGAAGGCTACTAGGAGAGAGGAGCTGTCTGAATATCAGAAACAGATTTCAGAACAGTATGTAGCCAATGTTGAAAAGGAGTTGGAGAGATGGCAAAATGCGAGGAAAGCCAGGAAAGCAAACAATGATATTAACTTGCAGGAAACCATGGACAAAGAATTGGATACCCATAGGCTTGAACATGGTCCAAAGAAGAGAAAGATTCCAGGAGGAAGCAATGATGATGAGGATGATGTGGAAGATATTAATGTTGGAGAGGATGACATCATGGATGATGTGCTGGATGTTGTTGATAATGGAAGGAGAACTGATGAGACAGCAAAAACAGAAGTTGATAATACCAGTCCACAGCCTAATAATGTTGACCAGAATGATTGACGCCAATGATTCCAGGTTCATTGCTAGGTCTTCTTTGTATTTCTGTAGCTTATTTCTTGCGTTTAGCTGCATTTTCCCCGTTATTTGTTACTCCCTTCTCTTTTTCTTCTATTGTTTTCTTCTGGAAATAGGTGTGAGTTAAGTATGGGTTTTGTGCGTGTAGGAGGATTTTATCTATTATACATTACCTTTCTGGTTTTGTTATTTATTGCTTGGAAACAAAAGAATAATGATTGGACTTATTTACAACACAGAATGGAGTGTGTTTCTCTTCCTATAAATACTTCGATGTCCCTTCAAATTAAATTTGCAAAGGAATTTGCTTGTGATGTTGAAATTAACAGTGTCACTGTGCAGCAGTAGGTTCTGTTTACCATCCAATTGCATTTTGATATTGTTAGAAATGCTTGTAACTCTTTTAGGGTTTTACGTCAGTAGTCACCTTGTTCTTTGTGTGCATCGCAGCTTTATCTTTATTTGATCCCATGGCATCAAAAGGCTGCCAATCCATGTCAATGTTATCAATGTTACTTTTATTTCTAGTGAACCGAAATTCTAGCCTAAAGAAAGTAAAGAAGCGCTTAGCGAAACTTTCTATCTATTCTTGACATTGTGAATGTAGTTTTTTAGTGACACGCTGGAACCACACAAAAAAACATGGAATTGGTAAAGAAGGTTAGGCGAAAAGGGTAGCTTTTTTATTTTTATTTGGAACAATTGGGTTGGTTGAGTGGAAGTTTCGTAACTTTACAAACAATTAAGCAACATGGTATTGAATAATATTGATTAAGAGCTATAGCTTAGCTTTCTGTATCTGTCCTGTCATCTATCTTTTATCAAATGGGTTTGTAATTTAAAATATATATATTTATATATTTTGCAGTGCAAAACACTACCTATCGGGCACTTGGGCTTGGTAGCTCGATAGCTTTAAGCTTTCTTGAAGGTGCATCTCCCCAGCCCTTAGGCTGGGATCGAACCCTCACCCCCTC